CTGCTCCCACAGTCCAGCTCGGTGGAGACCTTGTTGGTCATCTTGTCAAACTTTCTGTGTTCAGCCATGGGGACCTTTCCCATCGGTTTCTCAGCTCCTGAGATGTCTGGTTTTGTTCTCCCAGAAGAGTCCAGGCCCTGAGTCCATGAAGGGAGAAGGTAGGTTTGGGTTTGCAGGGGAGTGGGGACAGAGCTGGCGGTCAGTCCTGGCTCTGTCCTTTACTAGCTGTGTGACTTTGGGCAAATCACCTGCCGTCTCCAAGGCTCAGTATTCTCATCTGTAAAGTGGGGATAATAGCACACATGTCATACGGCTGTGGGGGATACCTTCATCACCAATGCCCCATCCTCCTCCTCACCATTGAAGGGGGTGATACACGAGGGGATGGGCTCACACTGAGTCAACTCTACACGCGCTGGAGGGACCAGGCTCCAGCATTTCTAAGACAACCTACTCTAAGCCGTGATTCTCAGATGTCAGTGAACATCAGAATGGCTTAAAATGAGGTTCCAGGGCCCTGCCTGCAGCACTGTAAGAATCTACATTTTCAATAAGGTGGGTCTGAGGTTGGCTACTTTTAGGGAGACCAACTGCTCCTGTTTGTCTGGAACCTGGCAGGTTTTAGCACAGCAAATTCTGTATCCAGAGACAGCCTTAGTCCCAGCAAACTGATGCTGTCGGCCACCCTGCCATGTTTTACCCCCCACTCACCATCTTAGGCTGGCTGTGCCATGGGAGCAATTGAGTTCTCGGGCTGCCTGGGAGGGTGTGGGGCTGGGAGAGCCCTGGACAGACCTGTGTATGGAAGCCTCAGCAGGGGAGGCCCCAAGGTCCTGAGCCCAGGGCTAGACCAGAAGCACTGCCTAGAAAACCCAGAAGCCAGCATGTGGCGACTCAGCCATGCTGGCAGCTCAAGGTGGCCTGGAGAGGAAGGACTTTGTCCAGGTGAGGCTCCAGGTACTTCCCCTGTTCTCTAGGAAATGGGAAGCTAGATCCTCCTGTACCTGATGCAGGATCTCCTCCCAGCAGCTGCCCCTTTCATTTTCCTAACACACAGTTTTCATGACAGGCATGAGCACTGGACTGGGAGTCAGCAGCCCTACGTTCTAGTCGCTTCTCTTTTGGGCCTCAGTTTCCCCAGCAGTGAAATGAGGGCATGACTTTTGCTTATCCTGAGTGCTTTACCCACACTGGTTTCTTTCATCTTCTCCTCATCCCCACCAGATAGATGTAGACGCTGCGGCTGAGGGAGGCAGTCACTCACTCAAAGTCACACACCTAATGAGAGGTGGGACTGGGATTTGAACCCAGTTGCCTGGCCCCAGGACCACGGGCTCAAGTACCTCACCACGGCTTCATCATGTTGCCCCTCCTGATCAAGAACCATCGCTGGCTCCCCATTACAGAGGGATAAAATGAAAACAAGCTCATTATAACCTGAGTCTAAACTAGACCTCTTAAGGCTCCATGGTGAAAACACCTTCCCCTTACTTGTGTCTCCTCTTGGTGCCTTCCCTGGGGAACGTGCCCCAGCTGCCCAGCCCACTGTCTCATCCTGCCTCCAAACCCGTTTCCTGCACCCTCATTTACTTTAATAACCCCTTCCCTGTCCTGGGCCAATGGTGTTCCAAGCCTTTCCCATCTATTATCACACTTGAGTTTCATGATTGCCCATGAGGTTGGCCAAGTGTCATTATCCCACTTTATAGGTGAGGTTAATGGGCCCAGAGAGACTAAGTGATTTAGTCAAGCTCAGCTGGCTGATGTGTGACCCAGCCTGGTCTAGAACCTAATTCTTGACTCTGGTCCCAGCATCACCCAAGCCCTCGACTTCTGTGGACCCTCCCTTCCCCAACCTCAGCTGTAGCTTGTTCACCTTCTGTGCGAAGCCCTTGTTCAGACCGTGGCCCTGGGGACCCTCCTGGACGGGAGAATCTTCATTGGGAATCCCTCAGCATCTCACACAGAGCCTGGCACATGGAGGGGCAAGGGTGCTGGGCTGAAATACCCCACACCCCAGGGGCTGGAGCCTGGGAACTCAGTGGGGTTTTCATACTAGAAGGACCATCAAGGGCGCTCAGCCCTTGCCCATGGACGCTCGGGGCCCAGGGAACAGCTTTGGGGTTGAGGGAGTTCCATAAAAAGTTTACAGGCTTCAGCCAGGCATGGTGGCTCATGCCTGTAATCCCAGCTCGGAGGCTGAGGCAGGCGGATCACTTGAGGTCAGGAGTTCAAAACCAATCTGGCCAATATGGTGAAATCCTGTCTCTACTGAAAATACAAAAATTAGCTGGGCACGGAGGTGGGCTCTGTTGTCCCAGCTGCTTGGGAGCCTAAGGCATGAGAATTGCTTGAACCTGGGAGGTGGAGGTTGCAGTGAGCCAAGATTGCACCACTGCACTCCAGCCTGGCCACTGCACTCTAGCCTGGGCGACAGAGTGAGACTCTGTCTCAAAAAAAAAAAAAAAAAGGCTTACTTGGGAGGTGGAAGTCAGGTGCCTCAGGAGTGGGGCTGAGGGTGTTCCCGAGGGTATGAGAGGCTGCTCTTCCTACCTGGGTTTGTCTTCCTGTGTCTGTCTTTCTGACTCCCTGTCTCTGACTCTCCATCTCGCTGTGTCTCTCCAAGTCTCTCTGTCCCTATCTCTCTGTCTCTGTGTCTTCATGCCTCTCTACCTGGGTCTGCCATTTTCCCTGTGGGGCGCTGCCCAGGGCAGAACAGGCCAGAGGGCTCCACCAGCCCTGGAAATTACAGCCTTTGGGAGTAGGGTTGCCAGATAAAAGATGCCTAGTTAAAATTGAATTTCAGATCAATAATTAGTCATTTTTTAGTATAAGTATATCCCAGATATTTCATGGGAGTTCCAAACAATGATTGACTGTTTATTCGAAACCCAAGTCCAGCTGAGCATTCTGTATTTTTATTTGCTAAGTCTGGCAGCCCTGCCTAGGAGGAGAAACAGGTGTGTCTGTCCCTCCCACCTGGTGAGGACACCTGACAGGGACCCGGACACCAGAGTGGGACCCGCCTGATGGAGAGAAGCTTAGGCTTGGTTTATTTCCCTTTTTATAAAAAAGCTGCTTTGAGATGTATCAGAATCATGTTGGTGGAAGAGTGAAGAGGGTGTTTTTGGGGAGGTCTGCCTTACTCCAAGGGAAAATGGGAAACGGGGGGAGTGGCCAGCTGTGAAAACTCGGGGAGTCCTGTATGTATCCCAAGCCTCGTTTCCCCATGTGTAAACAGGAGTAATGATCTCATCCTGGGACTGCAGTGAGGATCAGATGAGCTAGTGTACAGAAAGGCTTGGCCAGGCCTGCTGTGGTAAGGGCGCAGAGGCTGGGGGCTTTTTGTCTAACGGTATTGTTGTTACTACTCCTGGGGAGGTGGTGGGCAAGACTGTCGACTGAGGAGCCACATGGCTGGGTCTGGATCCCAGCCCCACCACAGACCTTGGGCAAGTTACTTAACCTCGGCTTTCCCATCTGTATAATGGGAGACAGTAATAGATGGTGCCTCCCTTCTAGGGTTATTGAGAGGATTGCATGATGGGCTGGCACAGAGCATGAGCTCAACAAATGTCAGTCACTGTTATCCCCCAGGAGGGTGCGTGCCGCTTCCTCCAGGAAGCCCTCCAACTCACAGTGGCCTCTCCCTACATGGGTTCCCACTAAGCTGTAATTCTGTGGCCCTGAGCCCCATCTGGCTCCCCTGGACAATGTTGGTCCTCAGCTCCCCAGCGGGATCAACAGCTCTGGGGCAGTGGGGAGAGCAGTGGGTGGATCGGCCCAGCCAGGCAGTATCTGAGTGCACAGTGGGCACCCCACAGTCAAAGGATGCACAGGCTGGTTTCCAGCGAGGAACTCCAGACTAGCAGGAACGAGGGAAATGCAATTTCAGGGCCAGGTAACATCACAGATATTTTAAACCTGCAATTAGTGCCTCGTTGTCTGACCAAATCCGGCCAAGTTTCCCGGGTGACACTGCAGGGCCGTGGAATAGCAGGGGCTTGGAGTCAGACCTGGTGCACACCTGGCTCTACCATTTGATGCAACCTCAGGCTTGTCCCTAGGCCTCCTTGAGCCTCAGTTGCTAATATGTTAAATGGGGATGATGTTGCTCACCTTACAGCTTGTAAGAGTGGAGGGAGCTGTGTGTGCCAGGGGCCTGCCATGCAGCGGGCACTCAACCAGATTGAATTCCCTTCCCAGGGAAGAATCCAAGGATATCTTCCCACCCACTAAGGAGACATGTGATGGGATCTGGAGTGAGAATTGCTCTTTTTAAAGCTCTCAGAACTGTAAGGGGCTCCACCCACCACTGACTGGTGTTCACTGAGCTCTTCGTGCCCAGCCCTGCCCCGGGGATTTATCCAGCACACGGCTGGGTTCTGACTTCTGAGGAGCTCGCCATTCTGGTGGGTGGTAAAGAAACTCACGAGGGAAATGTTAACGACATTAACACAGGGGCTTAGAACGTCAGACTATGTGTATGTGTTTTGTTTTGTTTTGAAACCGGGTCTTGCTCTGTTGCCCAGGCTGGAGTGCAGTGGTGCAATCTTGGCTCACTGCAACCTCTGCTTCCTGGATTCAAGCGATTCTCCTACCTCAGCCTCCCCAGTAGCTGGGATTACAGGCGCATGCCACTACGCCCGGATAATTTTTTGTACTTTTAGTAGAGATGGGGTTTCACCATGTTGGCCAGGCTGGTCTCGACCTCAAGTGATCCGCCTGCCTCGGCTTCCCAAAGTGCCTGACCTCAAGTGATCTGTCCGCCTCAGCTTCCCAAAGTACTAGGATTAAAGGAGTGAGTCATCACACCTGGCTGACTGTGTATATGTTTGTGTGGGGTCCAGGCTTGACTCCTGGGAACTTGCTGTGAGGATCTGAGGGGCCTGGGTGGCCAAGGAAGGCTTCCTAGAGGAAGCAGGGCTTGAGCCAAAGCTCAAACATCTGAGCAAAACACACCTCCTTCAGCACCGCCCATGGCTGTCTGTCCTGCCCAGGTCAGTGCCTGAGGGCACAGAGATGTTCGAGGTCTATGGGACGCCTGGAGTGGACGTCTACATCTCTCCCAACATGGAGAGGGGCCGGGAGCGTGCAGACACCAGGCGATGGCGCTTTGACGCGACTTTGGAGATCATCGTGGTCATGAACTCCCCCAGCAATGACCTCAACGACAGCCACGTGAGCTGGTCCCTGGTGGGGAGGGGAGAGGTTGCGGGGGAGGCAGCTGTCTAGCTGTAGGAGGGCCCAACATTCTCTTTCTCTAGAGCGCAGGGCAGCACAGTGGGTAAGTGCCTGGCCTTGGAGCCATGCTGCTGGTTTTGAATCCCAGCTCTGCAAGTTACAGACACATACCATGTGTCCTTGGAAAGCTGTATCACCCCTCGGGACCTCTGTCTGTCATCTGTGAAATGGAGTAATCAGAAGGAGTTGTCCCAGTTCTGCGGAGTTGGGTCTCAGTTTCCCCATATGTAGGCTGAGGGTTGATTAGGGGATCTCTGCCACTTTGAATGAAAAAAAGAAGGCAGGGACAGGGGAGGGACACCAGTGCCTGGGGAGACCCCCTTCCTAGGTGACATTTCCCCAAGGTGCTTTGCTGTCCTTAAGCTGCTCTCTTCCTGACCCTTTTTGCAGGGTAGGGGACATTTAACACATGGGAGAAATGGGTGGCCTTTAAGCTTGGCACAAGTGATGTTCACTTCAAGGGCTGATGGGGACCAGGACTTGGAGGGTGGGAGTAGTGGGATCCACTCCATGTCAGAAGCAATGTTTCAGAAACTGGCCCTTTAAGGAACACTGACCACGTGCCAGGCACTGGGCAACCGTGACCTCATCCGGCCCTCACAGCAGCCCAGAGAGGCAGGGGACTGATGCCCATTTCACAGATGGGACAACTGACAACTGAGGTTCAGAGTAACTGTCCCTGGACCACATACTAATGGTCAGGAGAGCTAGAATTCAGTGCAGACCTGCCTGACCCCTGGAGGCAGTCTCCCTCCATCACCCCCACCTCTGTTCCCAGCCATGCATCTGAATTGAGCCTCTCCACTGAACTCCGTGAGGCACATGGTGCAGGACCCAGTGAACCCATTTAACAGGCAAGAAAACTAAGACGGAGAAGGGGGCGTGGCTTTCCTGAAGTCACATGATCTAGCGAGTGGCAGAGTTGGTGAGAGTCAGGACAGAGTCTCAGAGGCAGTGCAAGAGGACCGGCCAGTCTGTGAGGGGCCCCACCTTGGTGCCAGTTGAACTGGGGATGGTGTGGGTACCCCCCTCCTTGAATTCCTTGGCCATGATGGCTGGTGGGATGGAGGAAGTTCAGAGTCTCTCCTACTCTTCCCCCTGCCCGCCATATACCCCTGCTCCCAATCTGGCCTTTGGCCAGGATCCCAGTAACTGTATGTTTGAGGCAAGCATCACTGCTGGTGATTGACACGTGGGGGTCAGTAATTGCAGGATTTAGGGGTTCCCAGGACTAAGGAGGTGAGTGGCCCCTGCAAGATTCTTCCCTCTGGCTGAAATTCAAACATCAGAAGCAGAGAGTTGAGAGACCCACATCAGGAGGGAACACCCCAACAGGAGGGTCATGCTTTAAAGGGAACTTGGATGCCTTGGATTCGTCTGCCTCCAACCAAATATCATCCTCGCCATCTTCATCCTCATCCTGTAACAGTTCTTGGGTGCTCACTGTGGGCCGGGCACCGAGCTGCACATGCCCCATGCATGACTCCTTTCATCTTCACAGCCTCTAATTAGTCCTAAGGGGTAGGAACTATTATTATCCCCACTTTACAGTTGAGGAAATTGAGGCCCAGAGAAGATCAGTAACTTTTCCTGGGATATTCAAAAGTGGAGGATCCAGAATCTGGGTCCAGGCCATCTGACCCCAGATCCCTGCATTTAACCACCCCCACCCCACCAGATGCCATCTGCCCACTGATAACAGTAGCTGGTATTTCTTGGGCACTTCCTATGGACTCAGTCTTTTACATTTATCATCTCCATGCTGCACTGCAAGCCTCTGAGGTAGAGACCTATAGAGGTAGAGACCTTTTCCCATTTTGCAGATGAGAAAACTGAGGTGGCTCAGAGAGGTGAGAGGCCTTGGCCAAGGTCATAGAGTGCCCAGAGGTTCCAGGCTCAAGCCCAGGCCTGAGTCCCACAGACAAGAATGTTGGCTTGGAGAGTGGCCCTAAACCCTGTCCAGTCCAAACCCTTTATTTTACAAATGGCAAAACTGAGACCCAAAGAGGAGTAAGAGCTTATCAAAAATCACGGAGTAGGTTATTGGAGGGACTGGGACCCAAGTCTCTAGAGAAGCTCTTACAAATAACTCCCATTTACAGATATGCCAACCGAGACACAGAAAAATAAATGGCACAGAGGAGGTTAAAGAAAGGGCAAGGTTCCTGGAGCCCCTTCCCCTCCTTACCAGATCCCCGAGAACTATCTTTTGGGGTGGGAGCTCTTGGCTTCTGCTGGTATCACTCTGTGCCCAACTCTCCACAGGTTCAGATTTCCTACCACTCCAGCCACAAGCCTCTGCCCCTGGCCTATGCGGTGCTCTACCTCACCTGTGTTGGTAAGTTGGGGGCCATGTTGATGGTGTGGCCAAGGGCACATTTTAAAAATTCAAACAGTACAAAAGAGTGTACATTGAAAATTAAACCTCCTTCCCTCCAACTCAAGACTTCTAGTTCCCCAAACCCAGCATTTTCCTAGAGATATGCTGTGCTTATATATGAAGGCACATACATACCTGTATATCCCTACTATTTTGTAAGCAAATTGAAGCATACTATAGACATGAAACTGGACCTTGCTTTTGCCAGCTTAAAGTTTTTCTGCTAAGCCTCCACAAATGGATATATAAACTCCATGCAAGATGATTCAGATGTTGGAGCTATCAGACAGGGCATGCAAAGTAATTGTGATTAATATGTTAAGAGTTCTAGTAGAAAAGGTGGACAACATGCATGAACAGATAGGGAATTTCAACAGAGAAGAAAATTGTTAAGAAAGAGTCAAATGGAAATGCTAGAAATAAAAACCATAATAATGGAGATTTTAAAAATGCTTTTGAAGGTTTCACCAGTAGACCTGACACAGCTGAGGAAAGAATCAGTGAACTTGAAGATAAGTGAATAAAAGTTACCCAAATTGAAACCCAAAGAGAAAAAAGAATAAAACAAACAAATGAAAAAACATAAGAAATATTAGAGCTCTGTGACAGTATCAGACAGTCTAAATTCAATGCAATTCCCATAGAAATTCCAACATGGCTTTTTTTTTTTTTTGATAGAGTTTCGCTCTTGTTGCCCAGGCTGGAGTGCAGTGGCACAATATCAGCTCACTGCAACCTCCGCCTCCCAGGTTCAAATGATTCTCCTACCTCAGCCTCCTGAGTAGCTGCAATTACAGGCGCATGCCTTCACGCCCAGCTACTTTTGTATTTGTAGTAGAGACGGGGTTTCGCTGTGTTGGCCAGGCTGGTCTTGAACTCCTGACCTCAGGCTCCCAAAGTGCTGGGATTACAGGCGTGAGCCACTGTGCCCAGCCCCAACATGGCTTTTTACTATAACTTTACAGAGCTGATCCTAAAACTTGTATGGAGGAGCAAAGGTCAAGAATAGCTAAGATGATTTTGGTGAAGAACAAGGTGGAGGGATACACAATTCCAAATATCAAGACTTTTTTTTCAAGCTATAGTATTTGAGGCATTGTGAAATTGGTATAGAGCAATGGAGCAAATAAAAGAACCCAGAGACAGACCCATGCTTGTGTGGCAATAAATGAACTTGGAACCCTACCTCACACCATACTCAAAAATAAATTTCAAGTCAGTTAAAAATCTTAAGGTGAAAATCAAAATTGTAAAGTTTTTAGAAAAGAATATGTTTGTACCCTCAAGATAGTAAAGATTTTCTTTAACAAGGCAAAATGAAAGTGCAAAGATCATAAGGGGAAAGATTGCTAAATTAGACTGTATTAAAATTAAAAATTTATGTGCAACAGACGACAAGTAAAAAGCCAAACTATGAACTAGGAGAAGAAATCTGCAATGCATATGGCTGACTTGGTGCATATAGAATATGAAGAACTCCAATCAATAAGAAAAGGACAAAAATAATAGAAATGGGCAAAAACGTGAATAAGCAATTTACAGAAGAGAAAGCCCCAGTGATCAAAACCCAAATTAAAAGATGCCTAACTGAGCATTGCCAAGGTGGTGAAGCTGGGAAACTCCTTACAAAGGAGTGGGTGGGAGTTTGCTTTGGCTCACACACTTGTGAAGCAATTAGCAAAGAAATTGAAAATGCTTTATCTGTAGGAGGCATTTTTTAGAAGCAGAACTTCTAGGTTATAGAGAATCTGTATTTTTTAACTTGATAGATATTGCCAAATTGCTCTCCAAAAACACTGTATCAGTATACATGTCTGCCAACTGCATATATGCTTTGCCAACACTGCATTATCAACTTTTTCCCTTTTTGCCAATCAGTTGGCATCTCACCGTTGTTTTACTTTGCCTTTCTTTAGTTAGGAGTGAGGTTGGGCATTCCCCATCTGCAGCCCAAATACATACACACATGATCATTGGAAAACAACATAGACAGAAAAGTACATAAAGCTTTATTTTACATACATATGTGTATAAAAAATATGAACACACACACACACACACACACACGAATAATTGCAAAGCAAACTGAAGAATAGCCCAGGAAATAAACCCAAGAGTAGCCCAAGAAATAAAACACTACCAGCACCCCAAAGTCCCCCTCAATGTCCCCTCTCTGATCATAACTTCCTCCTTCCCCTACAGGTAACCACTATCTTGTGATAAGTATTTTCTTGCTTTTCCTTATGGTTTTATCTCCTGAATATGCATACCCAAATAACATGGTCTAATTTTACCATCTGATTTTCTACGGATGCAGTCATATCATGTATATTCTTTTGTGTTGGGTGTCTTTTGCCCCATGTTATGTTTATGAGATTTATCCACTTGTTGCATGGTGGTTGAATATCTTTTCACAAGTTTAAAAATCATTTCAGGCCACGCGTGGTGGCTCATACTTGTAATCCCAGCACTTTGGGAGGCTGGGGTGGGTGGATCACTCGAGCCCAGGAGTTCAAGACCAGCCTAGGAAACATGGTGAAATCCTGTCTGTATGAAAGATACAAAAATTAGGTGGTCATGGTGGCATGCACCAGTAGTCCCAGCACTCAGGAGGCTGAAGTGGGAGGATCACTTGAGCCCAGGAGGCAGAGGTTGCAGTGAGCCATGATCATGCCACTGCACTCCAGCCTGGGCAATAGAGACCCTGTCTTGTCTCGGAAAAAAAAAAAAAAAATCCTATCCAATTTATTCTTTTTTCTCTCCCTCCGTGCTCCTCACTGCTTCTTCTTTAAGAACTAAGAAGACTACTTTTTTTTTCAGAGCAGGAAGATTGATCTGACCTCTTGAATGCTCCATTTGCATTGTGAAATCTCCCCCAGTGTCTAGGGATAAATGTTAAGAAGGTGGGATGGGGGTGGGATTTGGGGACTGTGAGTGGCTCAGAGAGGACACACAGTCAGTAGGTGGCAGAATCAGGGTTCGTGTTCACATCTGTTTGACACCGAAGTCCAGGTTTGCTACCCCATTCCAAGGAGATGAGGCGGCTTTATATAGACAAGAATGTTCCTGGAGACCTGGGCTCAGTTCAGGGCGTGCCTGGGACTGCAAGGGCTGCAAGGATGCAGATAGGAAGTGGTCAGGGAAGGCTTCCTAGAGGGGGCAGCATTTGTCTTGGGCCTTTGCTGTGACCCTGCTTCTTGCCTCAGGCCTCTTTCCCCAGCCCAGAGGGTGCAGATGCCCTCACCTCTTGCATGGTGTCTCCTTGGAAATGACTTGCCTTTGCCCAGCCCCAGACAAGCCCTGAGATCAAGGCCTGCCCTGGGCTCCTGGGAACCTTGTAGTGACTTACCCTCCGCCTCCTCTTACAGACATCTCTCTGGATTGCAACCTGAACTGTGAAGGAAGGCAGGACAGGACCTTTGTAGATAAGGTAAGCATCTCTGCCTGGGCCCAGGAAGCGGGAGTGCAGTTGGAGCTTGCTCTCGGTTGGGTTAAGAAGGGTGAGGCCATTACAGATATCCCCCTGCCTCCCAGCTGATGCTGAGGCCAAGGGAGCCACAAACAGAAACCAGGCATGGCTAGGGATCTTCTTTCACCAGGAGAAAAATCATCACCAGGAATTATCAGGCATGGAGGTACCCAGCCCTGAGCTAGGCCTTGGTTTGTGGGATCAAGACCTTCTGGACTCATAATCTAGGTCAGGAGTGGGCAAACTCTTTCCATGAAAAGCCACATAGCAAGTATTTTAGGCTTTGTGGGCCATATGGTCTCAATTCTGCCATGATAGTGCGAAAGCAGCCACAGTTAATACACAAACAGATGGATGTGACTGTGTGCCAATAAAACTTTATTTATACAAACAGGCAGCGGGCCTGATTTGGCTCACAGTTCATAATGTGCTGATCCTGACCTAGGCGAGAAGAGAAACCAAATATGAAACTGTTGAAGAACTTGGGACTGAATTGCGTTGGGACTTGGTGCCCTGGGAGTTAAAGGAGAAAGTTGAGGTGGGCTGGGCAGGAGAGGAAGGCTTCCTGGAGGGACGTGCCCTTGAACTGGGCTCTGAAGGGATGCAGGAGGGATGGCATTCCAGGTGCAGGGAATGGCAGAAGCAAAACTAAGGAGGGTTTAATGGAGGAATGAGCACAGAGTAAGGCATGTGGTCCTATAATCGGGAGGTTGCCTATTGAGAAAGAGGATGTTGGCTGAAGGCCCATCACAGCCAGCCATGAAAGACAGCTCTGCGCTTTGGACTGGATGGTATGGGCAATAGAGAGCCATTGCCATTGCCATGTCTTGAGAAGGTGTTTCGAGAACGTGGACCTAACCTCACAGGGTCGGGTGGTTACAGGCCAGGCTGGGGTTCCAGGGCAGGGAGGCACAGGTCTCATCTGAGCCCTCACCACTGGCTATGTTTTGCCATTGGCAGCGGCAGTGGGTCTGGGGGCCCAGGGGGTATGGTGGCATCTTGCTGGTGAACTGTGACCGTGATGATCCAAGCTGTGGTGTCCAGGACAACTGCGACGAGCACGTGCGCTGCCTGCAAGGTGAGGCCAGGGCAGCCTGAGTCCCCAGGTGTCCAGGGTCACTGCTCAGTTACCCCTTGGGAGTTCCAACCCACCCACGGGACTCTGAGGCCAGAGTCCAGGGGAGAGCGCCAGCCTCCAGATACTCCTCAATGCTCCTCAAAACCCATCTCAGGCTGGCAGCTGCCCCTCCCTAGTGTCTCTAGTGCCAGCGGGCACTCACATGCCAGGGCAGAAGCTCTGGAAATGAGCCACTTAGCCATTCTCTTCCTCCAGGGGAGCAGAGGATGCTAGCATTGTTTGAGCATCTACTGTGTGCCAGGCCCTTTCCCCAAATTCTCGTTGAATCATCCAAGTGGGACGGTATCATCACTCCAATTTAGAGATGAGGATGCTGAGACTCAGAAGCCAGGATACTCCCTGAAGATGGTGTCTGATCCAGGGCCTCCCCTCTCAAACCCAAATCTGGGCCTCCTCCTTCTGCACCTCTGGCCTGCATTTCTGTGACACCCCACCTCTTGCTAAGCCCATCTGTCCTGAATTCCAGCCCCATGGAGAATGAGCTGCAATATTCCAGGGTGTGCTAGGTGCTGTCCATGGAAGAAGCCCATGGCTGCCTTCTGAAGTGGGCACCATTGGAGATGGGGATGCTCGGGCTCCGGAAGGGAGGGGCTTGTACCGTGTCACAGGGAGGGATGCTGGGACGGAGACCAGAACCCTCACCTGCGAAATACCCCCATGGCCTTACCCTCCTCGCTTCTCTGGAGCACCTGTTGCGTGTCAGACACCGCCTGGCTATGCCACACTTCATGTTTCTCTGGGCAATTGAGGAAACATGAGTCCAGGAGAGCATAGATGTCTTCGTGGTTTGTTCTTGATGGCTTCCAGGGTTTTCACAAAGCTGGGGCTGGGAGACCCAGGTCTTGATACCCACTGACCAGGGGAGGGAGCGAGGCAGCAGAGGAAGGGGCCAGTGGCCAGGACTCCCCTGAGTCACTACCACTCTGTCTGGCTTCACAGACCTGGAAGATATGTCTGTCATGGTCCTGCGGACGCAGGGCCCTGCAGCCCTCTTTGACGACCACAAACTTGTCCTCCACACCACCAGCTATGATGCCGAACGGGCACAGGTCTTCCATGTCTGCGGTGAGTTTGTGCCACTCCCCCTTGCCGTCTGTGCCCTGTTGCCAGGTTGCCTGCCAGGGAACCTCGTCTTCCTGCCTTGGGCCATGGGCAGGTCCTGCTCACACTCTGGGAGATGCCCTGGTGGGTGGCGAGTCACAGTAAGAACAGTCAGAAGTGGGGGCTTTGGAACTGACGAACTGGTGCCCCCAGCACAGCACCTGGTCTGATGTCATTTTATTGGATGAATGAACTTTTCAAATACATTTTAAGCATATGTAGAAATTCTTAGCAAAAATTTCAAACATACACAAAAAGCAGGCCCATGAATCCCCACGTGCCTGTCACTCAGATTAAACAATTATCACTGTTTTGTCTGTCTCGCTGAAGTATTGTAAAACTAACCCCAAACACCATAGATTTCACCCCTAATTAATTCAGTTTGTATTCCCCCCCAGATATAGATAACTGCTGTTTTACATAGTCACAGTGCCAAAATCACAAGAAATAAAGTAAGAATCTAAATGCCTTTGAGAGAGTAAAAATGTATACAAGTAATAAGATGCTTTTTTTTTTTTTTTTTTTTTCGGAGTCTTGGTCTTTCGCTATGGCTGGAGTACAGTGGTGCGATCTTGGCTCACTGCAACCTCCACCTTCCAGGTTCTGGCGATTTTCCTGCCTCAGCCTCCCAAGTAGCTGTGACTACAGGCATGTGCCATCACCCCCAGCTAATTTTTTGTATTTTTAGTAGAGACGGGTTTTCATTGTCTTAGCCAGGATGGTCTCGATCTCCTGACCTCGTGATCCACCCACCTTAGCCTCCCAAAGTGCTGGGATTACAGGCGTGAGCGACCACGCCCAGCCACTTATTTTTTAAATAATGACAATGACATTTTTAAAATAATGACGATTTTTAAAATAAAGACAATATGGAAGTATAGAAAATGAAACCTGAGAGTTCTCTACCCTGTCTCTAAATCTGACTTTTTTATTGTATTTATTTGTTTATTTATTTATTTATTTATTTATTTATTTGAGTCAAGGTCTTGCTCTGTTGCCCAGGCTGGAGTGCAGTGGCATGATCTCAGCTCGCTGCAGCCTCTACCTTTCAGGCTCAAGCAGTCCTTCCACCTTAGCCTCCCAAGTAACTGGGACTACAGGCATGTACCACCACACCCTGCTAATTTTTGTTTTTTTGTTTTTTTGTTTTTTTTTTTGGTAAAGACAGGGTTTCACCATGCTGCCCAGACTGGTCCTGAACTCCTGGGCTCAAGCAATCCACCCGCTTTGACCTCCCAAAGTACTAGGATTATAGACGAGAGACACCACACCTGGCCTAAATCTGACTCTCACTGTTAACGAGTTGGGTTGTGCACTTCCCAACTTTATTATACATGCTCTCCGGCATGTGTCCATATGCTGCTTTCCAACCGGCTTCTTTCATCGAATAATAATCCCACACGTCTTTCCTGGTATTTATTGAGCTCCACTTCATTCTTTTCCACTGCTGTATAATATTCCTAAGCATAGAGGTGCTGTGACTTACACAGTTCTCTGAACATCATAGTGGTTTGCAGTGTTTTGATTTTATAACAATGCAGGTTGCTTGAGGTCAGGGGCTTTGTTCAAGTCCAGAACCATGCCCCATGGGTGCACTGTAGTTGCACAGTAAATATTTGATGAATTAATGAATATCGAGCACTCTTGTACAGAAATATTATGTGAATTTGTACCTTTTATTGTTTGTTTGTTGTTTTGTTTTTTTGTTTTTTTTGAGACGGAGTCTCGCTCTGTGCCCAGGCTGGAGTGCAGTGGTGTGATCTCGGCTCACTGCAACCTCCTCCTCCGGGTTCAAGTGATCCTCCTGCCTAAGCCTCCTGAGTAGCTGGGATTATAGGTGTGCACCACCACTGCCCGGCTAATTTTTGTATTTTTAGTAGAGACAGGGTTTCACCATGTTAGCAGGCTGGTCTTGAACTCCTAACTTCAGGTGATCCACCACCCTCGGCCTCCCAAAGTGCTGTGATTACAGGCATCAGCCACCGTGCCCAGCCTGGAGATGTATTTTTGTAGGAAAGATACCTAGTAGTGGAATTGCTGGGCTAGGGGTAAACATTACTTTGTTGGATGCTGCCAAATTGCACTGCAAAAAGACATGAGCACCAGTCTTAGAAAGGAAGATCCTTTCCCCCAGCCGTGTCCCCACTGTGTATTACCTGTCCTCTCCTTTGCCAGTGGAGGTGAAAGGATGGAGTTGTTGGAGGACTTGGAATTTTTGGTGAGGCTGCAGACCTCTTCCTGTGTCCCTCATACTCATGCTCCCTGGGCCCACAGGGAGTCACAGCCACCCCTTCCCTCCCCTTCCAGGTCCTGAGGATGTCTGTGAGGCCTATAGGCATGTGCTGGGCCAAGACAAGGTGTCCTACGAGGTACCCCGCTTCCATGGGGACGAGGAGCGCTTCTTCGTGGAAGGCCTGTCCTTCCCCGATGCCGGCTTCACAGGACTCATCTCCTTCCATGTCACTCTGCTGGATGACTCCAACGAGGTAGGGACAGAGGGGTTTCAAGAGGGGGTCCACTCAGGACCAGAGTGGGCAACATGGTGAAACCCCATCTCTACCAAAAAAAAAAAAAATTAGTGAGGCATAGTGGTGTGCACCTATAGTCCCAGCTACTTGGGAGGCCGAGGTGGGAGGATCACCTGAACCCAGGGGGGTTGAGGTTGCAGTGAGCCATGATCACCCCACTGCACTCTACAGCCTGGGCAACAAAGTAAGACTCTGTCTCCAAAAAATAATAATAATAAAGGGCGGTGGGGAGGGCTCCATTCCTAGTAAGTCTACCAGGCACCACTGGTGTGAAAGACCCCGGACTTCTTGGCCCCCCCTCTGGTTCATTTCTGTCTTGCAGAGAAGCAAGAGGCTTTCTTACAGACCTCAGTGGTGGACTCAGAGTCCCCCCAGGCCTCTGGACTCCAAGTCCAGCTCTTTCTCCCCTGGTCTGCCCCTGCAGGATTTCTCGGCATCCCCTATCTTCACTGACACTGTGGTGTTCCGAGTGGCACCCTGGATCATGACACCCAGCACCCTGCCGCCCCTAGAGGTGTACGTGTGCCGGTGAGTCTTGGGGCAGTGGGTGGCTCCTCTGGCCCCCAGGCCCCGGCTCCATCCTGAGCCCCTCCTCCCTGGGCTTCTCCATAGTGTGAGGAACAACACGTGTTTTGTGGATGCGGTGGCAGAACTGGCCAGGAAGGCCGGCTGCAAGCTGACCATCTGCCCACAGGCCGAGAACCGCAACGACCGCTGGATCCAGGTAACCACACCTGCTGGGCAGGGCCCGGCCAGGACACCATCCTAGAGGGAAAGGCCTTCCTCTGGAGGCCACCGAGAAACATCCAGGAGGACCTGGGTGAACCCCAGGGAACTTGCTGCCCTTTCTAATCTGAGACCTAGAGGCCTCTCTCCAGAACTTTCTGGAGACCCAGACACACACTGATGCTGGATTCAACACCCATTCACCCACCGGATCTGGGCTAGGCACTGGGCTAGGCCCATAGGGGTGGCACAGGTGTGAGACCCACACTCCCTGCCCTCAACAGCTGAGGCCAGTGGTTCTCATCGAGAGGCGATTTGTCCCCAGGAGACGTTTGGCAGTACCTGCAGACAGTGCGCAGGACAAGCCCCCACAATAACATAATCCAGTCCCACGCATCAGTAGTGTCGAAGCTGAGAAACCCTGGTGTGCAGAATGATGGCTACAAAAATACCTACTCCTACCATCTAGGGTGTAGCTCGGGCAACATGGTGAAACCCTGTCTCTACAAAAAAGTTAAAAAATTAGCACGGCATGGTGGCGTGTATCTGTAGTCCCAGCTACTCTGGAGGCTGAGGTCAGAGGATCACCTGAGTTTAGGAAGGTTAAGGCTGCAGTGAGCTGTGGTTGTGCCACTGCACTCCAGCCTCGGCAATAGAATGAGACCTTGTCTCAAAAAAGAAAAGAAAAGAAAGGAAAAGGAAAGGAAAGGAAAGGAACGGAAAGGAACGGAAAGGAAAGGAAGAGGGAAGGAAGGAAGGAAGGAAGGAAGGAAGGAAGGAAGGAAGGAAGGAAGGAAGGAAGGAAGGAAGGAAGGAAAAAAAAAAAAAAAAAAAAAAAAAGGGTCTAGGGTGCAGAGGCTGTACCAGCAAGGCACCAGCAGGGTTTGGGGGATGCAGCATCACCTCTGCCCAGGGAATCAGTGAAGACCTCCGGGAAGGAGAGCATCTGAGCTGGGCCAGACTTGGCAGATGGGTGCACATGACTTCTGCCATTTACACAGCATTTTCTGCAGGCCAGGCGTAGCATCATTTCTTGATAACCTCCTGTAAGTCCACCATCATTCAGGAGCTCTTAGGGGAGCAAGACTGGGCCACAGAGCTGATACAGGCAGTGCTGGGACTCAGGCTGCCAAGTACCAGGCTGTACAGGGTGGTGATCCTGGCAGAGACCAAGCATGCGCAAAGGCCCAGGGTGGGAGGCAGGAGAGAGAACGTTGTGTGTTCTCCTCTGTCAGGGCACTGGTTCTGAGAAAGGCAAGGGTTGAGGTGGGAGACCTTGAACGCCAAGTTAAGGAGCTTTCCTCTTGGCTGGAGGTCAGTCCAGTGAGAGGGTTTGGGGCAGGACTCTGGGGCAGGATGGGCTGGGTTTAGAGCCTGGCTGTGCCACTAACTGACTAGCTGTGAGCTTTGGGACAAATATTTTTTAATTTTTATTTTTTTAATTAATATATTTTGAATTTATTTTTCTTTTTGGAGACAGTGTCTCTCTGTCACCCTGGCTGGAGTCCCATGGCGTGATCACAGCTCACTGGCAGCCTCGAAGTCCCGGGTTCAAGTGATCCTCCTGCCTCAGTCTCCTGAGTAGCTGAGACTACAGGTGCAGCCATCAGGCTCAGCTAATCTTTTGTAGGGATGGGGTCTTGCCATGTTGCCCAGGGTTGTCTCAAACTCCGGGCCTCAAGCAGTCTTCCACCTCATCCTCCCAAAGTGCTGGGATTATAGGTGTGAGCCACCACACCCGGACTGGATAAATAATTAGACCTCTTAGTTCCTCATTTTCGTCATCTGTCACATGGGGTGATTATGGCACCCATGTCAAGCATGTCATGAGGATGAATGGAGTTAATGTTTATAAAGAGTTTAGGGCAGGACCTGGATGTGTAGTTCATTCACACTGGGCCATCTTTTCCTTCAGAATCTGAGGGGTCAGGACTGACCTGGGCACATTTATGGGTCTGAGAAGGAGGCATATTTGTATCCCCACAGGGCCCCTCAGCCCTGCCCAACTCAGGCCACCATGGGGGCTTCTCTGTGTTCACCTGCCCTGGCCCAGCACTCATGATGACACCCCCAAGGTCATGTCCATGTTCTCGTTCACCTCCGGCCTCTGTCTTGCTGTGTGACCTTAGACAAGTGCACCCCCTCTTTGAGCCTCCAGCCCCTCCTCCAGTCAGCAGGCACCCTGACCTGGGTCCTCTCCACGTCCAAGCGCAAAACATGCTTGGGACAGGGGTCTTGGTGAGCAGTCTGCACACAGGGCTCAGAGCCGAGCCAGCAGGGGCAGCTGTTGACTGTCACAGCTGTGCGTCTCTCGCCTCTCCTCACTTGCAGGATGAGATGGAGCTGGGCTACGTTCAGGCGCCACACAAGACCCTCCCGGTGGTCTTTGACTCCCCAAGGAATGGGGAGCTGCAGGATTTCCCTTACAAAAGAATCCTGGTGAGTGGTCCCCGGCTGCAGCCCACCCCTGAGAGCTGAGAGGCCTTACCCCAACGGCCACACTGGGGTGTGGGGTACAGAGGGCAGCAGTGGGAACTGTGCTCTTTCGGGATGAGGGTAGGGTTGCCAGATAAAATGCAGGAGATGCCCAGTCAAATGTGAATTTCAGACAAGCAACAGGTTAACTTTTTGGTGTAAGTATGTCCCAAATACTGCATGGGATATACTTACACTAAAAAAAAGTTGTTGTTTATCTAAAATTCAAAGTTAATTGGGCATCCTGTATTTTTATTTACTAAATCTGGTAGCACTAAATAGGGGAAGCAGGATGGTGCACATGCTCAGAACACAAGCTTTAGAGTCAGAACAACCCTGCTCCATTACTTACATGCTGTGCGATGTTGCGTGAGTTACTACCACTCTCTGAGCCTTATTTTCCTCATCAGTAACAATGATATTTAGGCCCTGGCCTCACAGGTGTTTGTGAAGCGTCTCATTGTCCCAGTACCTGCATGGAGGGAATGTGTGTGTGCGCGTACCACCGTTAGCTGGTATCATTATTGTAATTAAAAAGGATAACAGGGAAGGCGATGGTTGCTAACTAGGACCTCCTGAGAAAAGAGGAGTGACTTGCTTGGTGCCATAAAGAACAGAAGACCCCTCCAACCCCCTCACTGATTACACAGATGCTAGGAGCTCTCTCTCCTGACCCTTGATGTTGTCGAAGTTCCTTCTGAGAGATGGCCCTGGGGAGGTCTCCCCTTCTGTAGAGTTCAAAGACAGAGGCCCAGAGGGCCATCAGCAGCCTCTTGGTTCCCACAACTGGCCACTTGGGCTGCCACTTGCCCTTGGTCTGAACTTGGCAGGAAGGCTGTGTAGGTAAGGGGGTGGGGTGGCCATAGCCTCAGGCTGCATGTCCGATGCGGAGTGGTGGAGCGACCAGAGCGCCCCCTGCTGTCTTGCTGTGATAAGGCAGCAAGGCCAGAGAGTCCAAGCACTTCCCAACTTTGCCTGCTATGCGTGCACGAAATTTTGACTGGCTCAGATCCCCCACCCACCGCCAGTGACTCTGTATTTCCATCTGAAGAATGGATGGCCTTTCCCACCCTGTCTTGAAGGAGCTCAGAGCCCAGCAAGTTGGTTCAGGCTCTTCCTGGTACCCTCCAGCCCCGCCTAACTTGGTTTCCCTCTCCAGGGTCCAGATTTTGGTTACGTGACTCGGGAACCACGCGACAGGTCTGTGAGTGGCCTGGACTCCTTTGGGAACCTGGAGGTCAGCCCCCCAGTGGTGGCCAATGGGAAGGAGTACCCCCTGGGGAGGATCCTCATTGGGGGCAACCTGCCTGGGTGAGAGAGTGATAGGGAGTGGAGTTCGTGGGGTGGAGGCTGAGGGTTGAGGGTGGTGGTGATGTTGGAGCAGGGACCATTCCACTCCTTGAAGAGAACCAGAAGCAAGGAGTGAGGAAATTATACTCCCGATGTAGCAGGGGTGGTGGGTGTTCACCAGACACAGTCCACACTTACCTCGGGGACTTTGAAACCAGAGAGAGCAGAGACCTAAGAGATCATTCGGTCCAACACTTTTATTTTACAAGTGGGCCCAGAGAGGGTAAGTGAGTCACATAGAAAGCAAAGTTATAACTAGACTCAGGTTTTCTGATCCTGAAAATAAATGGATGATACTAGTAATAGTCAATTAAAAGTAACAGAAGAAGACCAGGCACGGTGGCTCACACCTGTAATACCAGCACTTTGGGAGGCCAAGGTGGGCGGATCACGAGGTCAGGGCATCGAGACCATCCTGGCTAACACAGTGAAACCCCGTCTCTACTAAAAATACAAAAAAAAAAAAAGTTGAGCGTGGTGGCGGGTGCCTGTAGTCCCAGCTACTTGGGAGGCTGAGGCAGGAGAATGGTGTGAACCTGGGAGGTGGAGCTTGCAATAAGCCGAGATCACACCACTGCACTCCAGCCTGGGTGACAGAACAAGACTCTGTCTCAAAAAGAAAAAAAGTAACAAAAGAAAAAGTTTCCATTCCCAACAGTCCTGGGAGAAAACGCCTTTAGGTCAAAGCTTGTTCAAATGATACATTTGGTTAAAAATATCATTTTTACCAAAACAAATGATGTATTGTTCAGTAGTGACACAGGGGTGCTGATGGAAAAGGAATCCTATCATATTGATTACTTGCTGTGGACTAGACCAAGACATTGAGCTAACCAAATGCAACAGAGCTGTTAGAACAGACTTGGGATCAAATAATGAATGAATCCAGAATCAAGCTTTGCAGGGGACTCACTGCCCTCAAATACATAATCCCATTGAAAGAGGAAGCTGGACCATGCCCTTAGATACATTTTCCTAAAGATTGAACATGCGGGTGAAATCTGTCTCTTGGAGAATGAGAAGAACCTGGTGGTGGTTTTGAATGGTGGGACCTGGTGGGTCATTGCCCTGGTATGACCGACCTGTCCTGAGTCTGCCTCATGCAGAACTCACCCTGAGTGGAATTTTAAAATATACATATCTGACTGGGCACAGTGGCTCATGCCTGTAATCCCAGCACTTTGAGAGGCTGAGGCGAGCAGATCACTTGAGGTCAGGAGTTGAAGACCAGCCGGCCAACATGGTGAAACCCCATCTCTAGTAAAAATACAGAAAAATTAGCCTGGCCTGGTGGTGCACTCCTGTAATCCCAGTTGCGTGGGAGGCTGAGGAGGAGAACTCCTTGAACCTGGGAGGCGGAAGTTGCAATGAGGCAAGATGGTGCCACTGCACTCCAGCCTAGGTGACAGACTGAGATTCCATCTCAAAAATAAATAAATAAAGATATAAAATAAAATATACATATTTATTATCTTTCCTGTTTATAGAAGTAATGCGTATTTTTTGTTTTCTAAAAAATCAGATATTGCAGGAATGCTGAACTCTTGTCATTTTATTTTTGCATGGAGTCTTTTTAGTTAAGCGACTTTTTTTTAACCTCGTGGGTCCCAGGTCAAGTGGCCGCAGGGTCACCCAGGTGGTGCGGGACTTTCTCCATGCCCAGAAGGTGCAGCCCCCTGTGGAGCTCTTTGTGGACTGGTTGGCTGTGGGCCATGTGGATGAGTTTCTGAGCTTCGTCCCTGCCCCCGATGGGAAGGTAAGAACGTCGTGCATGACATGTCTTTCCCTGGCATCTGGGGCAAGAACTGAGCTCCAGGGCGCCACACCAAGGCAGGAGGCTCAGCCAAATCTGTTCTCTGCACACAGGGCTTCCGGATGCTCCTGGCCAGCCCTGGGGCCTGCTTCAAGCTCTTCCAGGAAAAGCGGAAGTGTGGCCACGGGAGGGCCCTCCTGTTCCAGGGGGTTGTTGGTAGGTAACAGCGCCATGTCCCTCCTTGCAGCTTGCCTGCCCCTCACCCAAATGAAGACACATTATGGCTTGAGATGGGGAGGGCAAGTTTTAAAGCAGGGGTGTGTCCCCAGATTCAGGGCTTCTCACTCCTGCCCCCGCACACTTTGCTTCACCAGATACCACTGCCCACGACTGGGGCCAAGCTGAGGCAGGGAACGTGGTGATGGAAGGCGGGCATGGACCGAGCAGGGACATAGTGGCTTCCCAGGCAGGCAACCAATGCAGTCACGCTGTGGAGCTTTAGGACAGTCACTGTCCTGAAATCCCCTTTTTTTTTCTTTCCTTTTTTTTTTCTTTTTGAGACGGATTTTCGCTCTTCTTGCCCAGGCTGGAATGCAATGGTGTGATCTCCACTCACCGCAACCCCCGCCTCCCGAGTTCAAGTGATTCTCCTCCCTCAGCCTCTTGAGTAGCTGGGATTACAGGCATGCGCCACCACGCCCGGCTAATTTTGTGTTTTTAGTAGAGACGGGGTTGCTTCATGTTGGTCAGGCTGGTCTCGAACTCCCGACCTCAGGTGATCGACCCGCGGTCGGCCTCCCAAAGTGCTGGGACTACAGGCATGAGCCACTGCACCTGGCTGTCCTGAAATCTTAATTCTGTTTTGTGAGGTCTGATGGATCAATGGAGCGTCTATGGGGCTTGGAGCCTCTGCTCAGGCACAGTCCTGTCTCCCAGCCTCCCTGCCTCCCTGGCACAGATTATCTGCTGCCTACTCCTATGTTCCCTTGAGCCCCAGTGCCAGGCCTCTCCATCTGTTGTCATTGTCCTGAGATGCTGCAGCACCGTGCCCCCAGCAGGAGCCTGGGCATGGGCACATGTGCCACTCAGCATCTTCATGGCATCAGTCGTCCCTGCCCTGCAAGGGCATTTGGTGGGCAACTTAGGAGGGGTAAGTGTCTCACCCAGCCTTGCTCAGGTACCCAGCACATACCCAGAGGCCACAATACTCTGGAGGTCGCCCATTTGCCTTGGCTTGGGGTGGCGGGCCTGTAGGAAGGAGAGATGCCAGGCTGGACCTGCTGGCCCCATTCCAGGCACAACATGTGGGTCTCACAGCAGAGGCATGGCCAGGCACAGCCCACTGGGAGCTGGGCCTCCACTATGAGGCCCACAGGCCAGGCCCTGACACCAGCAAGGGTCTGCCCAGCCCCATGCGTGTCCCCGGCAATGTGAAATAGCAAGCGCTTACTGAGTGGCAGCCATAGGATTGTGTGCCATTGACTCTAGCCTCCCCTTCCCTGTCCAGTCTCATCTCCATGGGCACCCCATCAGGCTGAGAAAATCTGGGCCCCTGGGAGGTCCCCATTTCATGCAGTCACTCCTGGAGGGCAGGGTTGGGGCCTGATGGTGTCCGAATCCCAGGACTGGCTGGTTCGCTGCTCAGTGAACCTATAAAACCTGACTCTGATGGTGGGTGGGTGGGCAGCAACTGACCCAGCTCCCGGCTCAGCCAAAGCAAGAGGAGTCCTCATCCAGTGCCCTCGGGCGGTTGTAAATTTCTGGTGAAAGGCGTTACCACTTCTGGTGAACTCAAATAAAGGTCTAAAGTTCATCCCGCTATGGGAACCAGACCCTCCCACTCCTTACACACCCAGATGTGCACAATGGCCAAGACAAGCTCAGATAGGTGGTGCCCACCCAAGACCCGGGAAAGTCAGAGGCTGCTGACTCGGCAAGACCAGTAGCTGTGAACTTGGCTCCTGCCTGTCTGCTTCCCTAAACACGGGGTCCTCATGTTGGTACTGTCCCTGTCCTTCCCTTTCATCTCTCTCCTTCACAGATGATGAGCGGGTCAAGACCATCTCCATCAACCAGGTGCTCTCCAATAAAGACCTCATCAACTACAATAAGTTTGTTCAGGTACAAGGGCTGTGGTGTAACTGTGGGCTGTGATTTGGGAGCAGGCGGGCCTGGAGGCAAGGATGGGATACGGACATCTAAGGCTCACCGTTCATGAAAGCTCAGGTTAGAACAGGCGCAGACAGAGGGGCCCCACACCCTCCTTTGACCCAGGAGAAGTGAGGGGAGCGAGGCATGTGTATGGGAAGAAGACAGGCATTCCAGGCAGAGGGAACAGCACAGGCGATGGCCCTGAGGTGGAACGAACAGGCCTGGAGTATTTTAAGACAAGCCAGGAGGCTGATGTGGAGCCAGAAGAGGCCAGGTCACATCACGTGAGGCCTCGTAGGGCATCGCTGGAACTTTGGCTGTGACTCTGAGTGAGATTTGAGGCCATTGAGGGATATGAGCAGAGAGACCAGTCTGAATTATGCTTTAAAAGATCTCTCGGCTGGGCGCAGTGGCTCATGCCTGTAATCTCAGCACTTTGGGAGGCCAAGGCAGGCAGATCACAAGGTCAGGAGTTTGAGACCAGCCAGTTTGAGACCAGCCTGGCCAACATGGCAAAACCCCTTCTTTATTAAAACTATGAAAATTAGCCAGGTGTGGTGGCATGCGCTTGTAATCCTAGCTACTCAGGAGGTTAAGGCAGGAGAATTACTTGAACCTGGGAGGCAGAGGCTACAGTGAGCCAAGATTGCGCCACTGCACTCCAGCCTGGGCAACAGAGCAAGACTCCATCTCGGAAAAAAAAAATCTGTTGCTGTGTTGAAAGCATATATTCTGTGGAGGGAAGGGGTGACAGTAGATTCCAACGGGAAATACACGGCACCTGGAGCTGTATAACTGCAGAAGAGGTTGATAAAGGACATATTTACAAAGGTACAGGCAGGCTCAAGGAAACTAGCAAAGGACTGTTCGGTGTCCCAGGCTAGGATGAGCGGGAAGTGTTACCACCCCTACACCTGAAGGAATGTGGGAAGTGGAACTGTTCCTGGAACCTGCAGAGGCCACCAGGATAAGAGGCTGTGAGACAGGAGATGTGACAGCCAACCCACAGTGAACTGGAGGGAGGGAGCTGCAGGGACAAATACCTCAGCTGTATTCTCCTCCTTCTTTGCCCCCGTTGGCTCAGCCCAATCAGGAGCCAGAGGGCACTGGAGTCCTTGATTCCTAGGGATCAGCCTCCCTGTGCACAGGGCAGAGATGGGCGTACAGTGTTCCTGAAGGGCAAACAGAATTTCCCACGTAGGGACTGCATGAGTCGAAATCCTCCAAGAATGTCAAGATGGGGTTAAACATGTCAGAGTTTTATTAGTGAAAATGCCTGTGTGAGGAAATAGACTGGGAGCCAGAGAAGACTGGGAGACCCCGAGTGAAAGAGAGAAGGAAGGTGAGGTGCACGCATCCTATACTGCATACAGCCTGGGGAACCTTTAGCAAAGCCGTGGGGGATCCCAGCAGCCACAGTTGGCCACTAGAAGAGTCCCTCGTCTCTCAGAAATGGGTCTGCCTGAGTGCACTATCACTGTCAGCCGTTAGCTAGGAGCAGTCAGTGAGGTGTGACCTTAAACCCAGGAAGGGCTTCAGAGCTGGGCAGCAAGCACCCTTGGTCAGTTACACTCCCAAGTTGGAGGTGTGCAAGAGGAGTTATCATGGCTGCCACATGGGGCAAGGGCAGAGACCCCATAGGAAGCCATCGCGGTCCACCAGGCTGGAGTGGGTGGCCTTCAGACCAGGTGGCAAGGGGGCAGATTGGGAACAGATGGCAAAGGTAGCACCCACAGGACTTGCTGATGAATTGGATTTGGAGGAGGGGACAGGAGACATCAAGAATAACAGCAAGACTTGTGGCCCTAACAGCTGGGTGAACAGCAGTGACATGTACTAAGCTGAAGAACCCTGGGGGAAGAAGCAGGGTAGTGGGGTAGAAATTAAGCATTTCTCTTTGGATGCATCATGTTTGATGAGCCTGTTAGACACCCACGTGAAGATGCTAAGTAGGCAGCTACACTCACATGTCGGAGCTTAGGAAAGAGATGGGCTTTATAAAGAGGTTGGGATTAGCCAGGCATGGTGCTGGGCGCCTGTAATCCCAGCTACTCAGGAGGCTGAGGCAGGAGAATCACTTGAGCCCAGAAGGCAGAGGTTGCAGTGAGCCAAGATTGTGCCAGTGCATTACAGCCTGGGTGACAGAGACCCTGTCTCAAACAAACAAACAAACAAACAGACAAAGAGGTGGGGAGATGCACATTTGGGAGTTGTCACTGTATAGAGGTGTTTTAAACCATGAGACAGGCTGGGGGCTGTGGCACATGCCTCTAATCCTAGCACTTTAGGAGGCTGAGACGGGCAGATCACCTGAGGCCAGGAGTTTGAGACCAACCTGGCCAACGTGGTGAAAGCCTGTCTCTACTAAAAATACAAAAATTAGCTGGGTGTGTTATGGTGGGCACCTGTAATCCCAGCTACTTGGGAGTCTGAGGCAGGAGAATCGCTTGAATCCAAGAGGCAGAGGTTGCAGTGAGCCGAGATCACACCACTGCACTCCAGCCTGGGAGACAGAGCGAGACTCCATCTCAAAACAAGCAAACAAACAACAACAACAACAACAAAAACCATGAGACAGAGTGAGATCCTCTAAGGCATGAGGGATTTGAAGAAGAGGGTCAAGGACGGAGCACTCTGAAACACTCATTTTTAACCTTATGGGGTAGGACTGTGAGGGGTGGACACGGGATACGTATATTTTGACAAAGGGGCACGCAGATAAGGTCTGTGTGGACAATTGACCTATGGGCACTTGGGTATCCTGCCTCTCCTCAACTAGACATGATGCCTTGAGTGCCCCCAAAACACACTGGCAAGGTGTCCCCAACTGTAGCCCTCCCCTGCCCCCAGAGCTGCATCGACTGGAACCGTGAGGTGCTGAAGCGGGAGCTGGGCCTGGCTGAGTGTGACATCATCGACATCCCGCAGCTCTTCAAGACTGAGAGGAAAAAAGCAATGGCCTTCTTCCCTGACTTGGTGAGGCCACCACCCATGACTCCAGACTACACCAAATCAGGCTGCAAGCCTCTAAGCCCTAGAGGGGAAAAATATTTGGTCACAGTCATATTTAGGATTGTGGTGGCCAGTGGGGGTGGCAGGGAGAATCAGGGGTCCTATGGTGCTCCTCAGAAGGGCTTCTAGCTGGCTGACCACCATGGTCCCTGTGGAATGCTTGCTGGTCAAGCCCTGGCCCAAGAGGCGTCAGGGAAGGGGACCATTTGACATTTGTGGAGTGAATGATTGCATGAGGTCGCGTGTGCAAAGCACATGGCATCAGCTGGGAACCCAGATGCTCATTCTGCTTTCTTCGTCCCAGCTTGCGGCTCTTCATCCATCCCACATGTATTTAGAGTTTCCTGTGGCAGATGCAGAGATGATTAAGAATGCCCCCTGCTCTCAAGGGACTTTCAGTCTAATCTGTTGAGAGGGAAATTCTCCCCCTCTCTGAGGACATGTCCCAATGATCTATTTTGTAGGATAAGGCGATGTGGCAGTTTGGAGGTGAGACAAAGCACTTCCAGCCTAAGAGGCAGGGCTGGAGATCCAAGAGGCTTCATGGAAGAAGTGGCCTTTGACTGAGCCTTGAGGGCTTTGCCTCTGATGCTTCTAAATCTTTTTTTTTTTTTTTTTTTTTTTGAGCTGGAGTCTCGCTCTGTTGCCCAGGCTAGAGTGCAATGGCGTTATCTTGCTCACTGCAACCTCTGCCTCCAGGATTCAAGCAATTCTCCTGCCTCAGTCTCCTGAGTAGCTGGGATTACAGGCATGCGCCACCACACCTGGCTAATTTCTGCATTTTTATTAGAGACGGGGTTTCACCATGTTGGCCAGGCTGACCTCCAATGACCCACCCACCTCAGCCTCCCAAAGTGCTGGGATTACAGGCGGGAGCCACCGTGCCCGGCCTGCTTCTAAATCTTGAGCTTGCATTTGAAACACCTGGACAGGTGGGGCCCACCCCGCGGTCCTGATTCAGCAGGTCTAAGGCAGGGCCCGAGGCACTGCTGCCTCGTTAACAAGCGCCCAGGTGGTGCTGATGCTGCATTTTAGAGGAACACAGTTTGAGCAGCACTGCTATAGGCCACCCAGCTCCCCTCTCCACGGCCCCCCACCTCCATCCCCTAGAAGAACTCAATTTGCCATTGTCAGAGCCTTGAGGGGAACCTGTCCACACCACTGTTGCTTCATGACCCTCTTTTTCCTTCCTCTTTTCAGGCAACTTTTTGCCCTCCACTTGCAAAGCCTCTTGCCACTCCCCTTCCTTCCTGTTCGAGGCTATCTTGTAATTATATATGTGCCCCAAGAAGCTTAGGCAATGATTCAGGTTCTTGTGTTCACAAGAGAGAGAGTCCTACTCAAGCCAGCTTCAGCCAGAGGGAGTCTTAATATAAGGACACCAGAAACCTGACAGCAGGATAGCTGCAGCAGAGCCTGGAATCCTCTCTGTTTCTGTGTCTACATCATTCATTCTCTGTCTTTCTCTTACCCTCTCCACCTCCTACTTCCTCTCCCTCTTCTTCCAGCTTGACTTCCTTTGCTTCTCTGTTCCTGGGGACAAAGATGAGTATGACCATGCACAGAGACACTGACACGGGCAGAGACCGACTAAACTCTCCCATTGTCAGTTGCAAATTCCTGGGAGAGGGACTCTGAATGGTCCATCTTGGACCAGCTGTCCTCCCTGGCCAATCAGCTATGGCCTAGAAGGTTGGGATTCTGTAGCACAAACATGGCAGCTGCCACAATCCATAATTCCAAATTCACATTAGGGCAGTTTCCAGAGGACGTTGCCAGAGTGAGCTCTGTAGATGCTCCCAAAGGTACCTGGCTAAAGTGTTCTTCCCAGCCCCTTTAGCCAGTTACCCTCTCATTGCACAGGAAAGGGTGAGCAGCTATTGATGAGACTGCCTAAAACACAAACCTAGGTCCTGCAGATAGAGTAGAGGTGTGAGGTGGGAGCCCAGTGATGAAGTTCTGCCTCCCCTTCGGACTGCAGGTGAATATGCTGGTGCTGGGGAAGCACCTGGGCATCCCCAAGCCCTTCGGGCCCATCATCGACGGCCGCTGCTGCCTGGAGGAGAAGGTGCGATCCCTGCTGGAGCCGCTAGGCCTCCACTGCACCTTCATTGATGACTTCACTCCATACCACATGCTGCATGGGGAGGTGCACTGTGGCACCAATGTGCGCAGAAAGCCCTTCTCCTTCAAGTGGTGGAACATGGTGCCCTGAGACAGCTCCCATCCACCATCCTGTCCCCTGGGGCGGGCATTGGCCCAGGTGGTGGAGACAGAGACAGGCCCCTGAACGATAAGCACCAAGAGACCCCAAGGCTCCAGATGGAACACTGAGGGTGACCGTCCCTCTCAGAAGCCTTTTCCCTGGAAGTGTCCATGCCTCACCTGCAACCCATGTGGTTCTCAGACTAGAATCTTCTTGGCCCCACAAAAAGAAGGACCTCATTTCTTACAGCCTCTCCTGTGATTCAACACAACCCATGGAGATGTCCCCTCCTCACTCTGAAATCATCCATTTGGGGACAAATCCACATTGGGGTCTAGAAACATCCATGTATCTCATCAGCCATCTTGTCCTGTTTATCCTAATAGAGGAAGGATCCATGATTCTGCTTTGGTCCAATTGCTTCCTCTCTGCAGAGGAACAACCCTAAAACCAGATCACTCCACACAGGACAGGCAGGAGAGATTCTTCCTAAAGCCTCCCCCATAAAAAGGGAGCTGTGGATCCACTTAGATCAGGGCGGGACTATCTTTCACCCTGCCAAGTTCCTGCCCAGATGTTGGCCCTCACCCAGCATGAGCTGTCACATGGTATGAGCTTCTAGATGCGTGTGGAAGCAATGAGAATTGTCCCTTAGCCTTATAAACTCTCCATCATCTGACATGCAGAAATCCAGCTATGTCCCAAATCCTCCTGGAATTTCTTGGAGATGAAATTATCTGGGGGATTGTTGGGTACTGGGAAGACTGGGTACAAGGGTGAAAAATATCTCCCATAATACACATGGTTGACTATGGTGATCCACCTTGTGATGGTTAATATTAGGTGTCTGGAGAAGGATGCTTCATTGGCCCCGGGACCTCTCTCTGCAGGAGGAAAGACCCCTGCCTCTCCTCTGGATTGGTCCCAGGCTCTCTATTGGCCTTTGGTCAGCATTTCCGCATAGCTGCAGAAGAGGGAGCTAAAGGGGCTGGATCCACCAAGACAGCTCACAGCGGGAAAACTCTGGGAATGAACCACTGAATTCAGGGGATGGCGGTTGGGGGGACGGTTCTCGAGATGTGTGCCAGCTACACGTGTATTCTGTATGGGTCCAGCTGCGTTTCCATCACTCGCTAATAAATCAACAGAAACACAAATGGCTTGGCTCTCATGTTGACCCTTCTTTGAGCTTAGAATGAGACAGCAAAGAAAGAGGACTGTCTTGCAGCTGAAGCATTTGCTTTCTTGACCCCCAAGAATTTGGGGCTGACATCCCAAATTTTGATAAGACTGAGATTGCCTTGTCTTGGCCAGAAGATGGGTTAGGGCTGCCATGGACAGTTGTGATGATATGGACACATAAAAGCAAGCCTGGGGGTAAAATGCTAGGCTACCAGGACAAGTGAGCATGGCCGGGCTGTAGCCGGAGGTTGCACTGTGGAAGGAGGGGCAATGGGGAGCATGTGGAGGCCTTTTGCATGTCCTTAGCAGCATCCTCCTTCTGCCTGCAAGAGGCTGCAGGAAGCCTTACTTCAGAGCACTCGGGCACTGCCCCCTTATTCTCCCTCAAGGTGCAAAACACAGAAACGCACTCAAGCTCACCCCAGGCTGGGTGGCTAGAGCTGTGCAGGTTTCTCCAGTGCTGCCTCCTTGCCACAGATTACTTGGGTTCTCTGAACAGATTCCCCGTGTCCCCTCACATGCCCAGATTTTGACAAAATAAGCTCCCTCCCCCATTTCCCCCAGCAGAGGAAGCTGAGACAGATGAAGAGGCTGAGAACATCTTATTTTCTGAAAGGGTTTGGGGAGGGAAATGTGACTCTCTAGAAGGCAAATGCCTAAAATTCGGAGAAGAGGGACGAGTTTCCAACAGGCTATTCTTACCCCCAAGACTAGACACAGGACTCTGGGTGGACCCAGCATAAAGCCCTAAAAACTTCTTGCCTCTCAAAGTTGCTCCCTATGCTCTAGGTTGGTGTGGGTGGGGCAACTGAGCAGTGAAAAACCTAACCCAAAGGCGGACGAGAAGCAAAACAGTTGAACACGGCATCCACCTGTCCGCACGTCAAAGGAAAGGGTCAGTGCATTACGTTTTGAAGGCTGCTATAACAAATTACCATAAACGAAGTGGCTTAAAACAACACAAATGTATTATCTTATGGTTCTGGAGGTCAGAAGTCTGACATGGTGTCATGCTGGACCTCCACTGACTTCAGTAGAAACTGGGCATGGTGGTACATGCCTGTAGTCCTAGCTAGTCGGGAGGTTGAGGAAGGAAAATTGCTTGAGACTAGGAGTTTGAGGTTACAGTGAGCGAAAATCACACCACTGCACTCCAACCCGAGTGACAGAGTGAGACTCTATCTCAAAAAAAAAAAAAAAAAAAAGGGATGGCACTATGTTTGAGAGACCAAAGAAGAGACCTGGAGCCAGTGACCAGGACAAGGTTTATTGAGGGGACTCATATACAGGGCAATCCGGTGGTGGTGGGCTGGACAGGAGAACCACCTCTGCTTGTAAAAAGCATGCAGTTGGCCAGGCACAGTGACTCACGCCTGTAATCCCAGCAGTTTGGGAAGCCAAGGTGGGTGGATCACGAGGTCAGGAGTTCGAGACCAGCCTGGCCAAGATGGTGAAACCCTGTCTCTACTAAAAATACAAAAATTAGCCAGGTGCAGTGGAGGGCACCTGTAATTCCAGCTACCCAGGAGCCTGAGGCAGGAGAATTGCTTGAACCCGGGAGGCGGATGTTGCAGTGAGCCGAGATAGTGCCACTGCACTCTAGCCTGGGCGACAGAGCAAGACTCCATCTCAAAAAAAAAAAAAAAAGGAAAGAAAAGCAAGCAGTTTATATAGCATTTTCACTTAGCACTCTCACCCTAACAACCTCCTCCTGGCAATCTTCATTTCACCCATAACAAAGGGCCTCAATTCCCGTACAGCCTGCATTCTATGAGATAAGCGGTGGGTCCCAATGTTCCTCATAGAAAAGAAATGAATCTCTGGGTTGGGCACTTTCCATAGCTGGGAATCCCAAATGCACATTTGTCATAGACTGTAAGGTCATTCTCAGGGCATGCTTCAGTTAAGCTATTGCTGGCAGTGCGTCTGCCATACACATGGCTCTCACTGAGCTAAAGTCAGCATCTTGGAAGCGCTGGTTCCTTCTGGGCTCTAGGGAAGAATCCTTTTTCTTGCCTTTTCCAGCTCCTAGAGGCTGCCTACACCCCTCAGTTGCTGGGCTTTTCCTCCATCTTCAAAGCCAGCAGCGTAGTAACATTTTTGTATCTTCCTCTGACGGATTCTTCTGCTTCTTTCTTCTACTTGTAAAGATGCTTGCGATGCCATTGGGCTCATCTGGATAAGCAAGGCTCACCCACCATCTCTAGGTCAGCTGAGGAGCGAACGTCATTCCACCTGCAACCTTCATTCCCTTTTACTAAGAAGGTCATATACTCATGAGTTCTGCAGATTCAAAAGTGGAAATCTTTGGAATTTTTCTGCTGATTCGAAAGTGGAAAGTGGAATTTTTCTGCTGACTACAGGCAACCAGGCCCCGACTGCCCTTTCTGGCCTCCAAGAGTGAGACCATACCCGGTCCCCCCTGAAATCCACAGAGGCAGCAGCAGAAAGATGCAGTCAATGAGCCCTCACTCTGGGACTGGTGTTCAGTTCTGGACCCTCAGCTGGGCTGAGATCTGGGATCCCGTGGATGCAGGCTGGGTGGCTCCAAAAAGCACTGGAAGCTGCCCCTACCAGGCCTGGGGTCAGGGGTCACCTCCACTGGCCACTGCCTTCCCAGACAGCTGCCCATGCCACACTTCCTGGTCCCTTCTGGGGCCTGGTTCTCAGGCCTGGAAATCCCAGGGAGACTGGGTTGAGGCTTGGGTTCTTGTGGGGAAACTTCCCCTTCACCCTATTGTGGTTCCTCTAACACTGTGGGCAACCTTGACCAGCCCTGAGGATAAGGGAAGACATCCAACGGGCTCACCTACTCCCAGCTGGCTGCCTGGAACCCTCGGAGTTGGACCATTAGTTGCTGAACTTGTACTCTGTAGCTGAGCACTTAACCTGTGTGAGCCTCAGTCTCCCCCTCCATAAAATGGGCAAAATAACTGCCTGCCTCATAGAGCTTGCATGGGGATGAAGTAGGGTAACTCACAAGACACACTTAGTGTTAACAGCACAGTGCATGGTGCATAGTAAGTGCTCAGTAAATGATGACTGTTGTTACATAACATCCCCTAGCCCTTCCTCAAGCATCTGCTGTGTAGAACACTCCTAATCCCCGCACTTTAATAGATGACAAAGACCCTCTGAGACCCAGAGGCGAGATGAGGGAGGTACGGAAGGGACAGCTGTCCTGGCTATTCTCAGATCATACCCTGCTTGTCTCAGCTGTGTGGGAATGGCCCAGGTGGAGGTTCCTGCCCAGACAAGAAGCCGACAAGAAAGCCCGTCTTTCTTATGGGGATTTGCAGCTCTGGGCGGCCCTGACTCATGCTTTCTTCAAATTTGGAATAAGTAGCTGCAGGGCTTCGGCAGGCGTTGCCCAACCCTGTGGCCTCCTGCGGCTTCCAGCAGCCCAGGAAAGAGGGCCCTGGGTGAGGATGGCTGGACAGGAATTCTGGATGGCTGGACAGAGTCCGTGGGACCTGTCACTTTCTACAAAGTCACTGTCATCCCAAGTCCCCTCCAGCGTAATGACAGTGAGTGCAAGCATTGTGCCAGCAGGTACCGAATGCTCCCCGAGCACCATCTGATATATCCCTCACAGCATGCCAGCAGGCAGCTATTATTATTGCTCTCACTTTATAGACAGGGAAACTGAGGCTCAGCCACATAAAAGAGCTTGCTCTGGTCACAGAGCTATTAAGTGGGGGAGACAAATTTGAGCCTAGACACATGACCTCTGTACCCTGGGTTCTTAACCAGTCACACCAGTGGTTCTCAACCCATCTACACATTAGAATCACTTGGAAGGCTATTAAAACCTAGCAGGGCCAGGCCCCCACCATCAGAAATTCTGTCTGGACATTGGGATGTTACACAAAGTAACTCGGTGACTCAGGTGTGTAGCCAGGACACGGCAACACTTTGGGAGGCCAGGTGGGTGGATCACCAGAGGTCAGGAGTTGGAGACCAGCCTGGCCAACATGCCAAAACCCCGTCTTTACTAAAAATACAAAAATTAGCCGGGCATGGTGGAAATTGCCTGTAGTCCCAGCTATGCGGGAGGCTGAGGCAGGAGAATCACTTGAACCCAGGAAGCGGAGGTTGCAGTGAGCAGAGAACGTGCCATTGCACTCCAGCCTGGGTGACAAGAGTGAAACTGCCTCAAAAAAAAAAAAAAAAAAAGAAAAAGAAAAAGAAAAAAAAGAAGTGGCCAGGGAGGCCTTCAAGGGAGGTGGCATCTCAGGCTGGGCGTGAAGGATGGGAAGGAGCCAGGGAGGAGAGGGTAGCTCGTGCTATGCCCTGAGTGGGGACTGGCGCCATGTGTTCCAGATGCTGGCCGAAGGCTTCTGGGGTGGGGTGTGTGGGCTTCTGGGGTGGGGTGTGTGGGTTCAAGGGGCATGACATTGGATAACATGAATGGAGGGCAGGTCCCTTTCTCTGGGGTCTGGGAGGCCCCAGCGATGAGGATGGCTGCCATCTGATGCAGTGGAAGCTCCTCTAAGCAGGAGGTGTGACAAGGAGGCTCTGGCCTTTTTTTTTTTTTTTTTTGAGACAGAGTCTCGCTCTGTCTCCCAGGCTGGAGTGCGGTGGCGTGATCTCCACTCACTGCAAGCTCCGCCTCCCGGGTTCACGCCATTCTCCCGCCTCAGCCTCCCATGTGGCTGGGACTACAGGCGCCCGCCACCGCGCACGGCTAATTTTTTTGTATTTTTAGTAGAGACGGAGTTTCACCGTGTTAGCCAGGATGGTCTCGATCTCCTGACCTCGTAATCCGCCCGTCTCGGCCTCCCAAAGTGCTGGGATTACAGGCGTAAGCCACCGCGCCCGGCCGCTCTCCATTTTTTTTAAAGTAACAGTCCCCAGCGTTTTTGGCACCAGGGACCAATTTTATGGAAGACAATTTTCCACAGACATAGGGAAGGTGGGGATGGTTATGGTTTCGGGATGAAACTGTTCCACCTCAGATCATCAGGCATTAGAT